AAATCGCACACATTTCGCAGCCGACGGGGAGTATGTCCAGCTGTAAGCTTAAGACATGTTCCAACGGCATTCTCCCTTGGTGTGGCTTGATGTCGTCAGCTTTTTCTCAGTTGCAACACAACACTGCCACCGCCTGGCCGGAATGGCCCATTACAGGCCATGATGCCGACTAGATCTCTCTAGGCTTTTGATCTCACGCGTTGGACATTCTGTTCGTCGGCTAACACCTCCCCCACCGGGGGGTTTAGTGTGCCCACCCCCTCTAAGGAGTGGTACCCATTTTATCTACTTGCCGAAGCTTTCGAATTGCTGGGTGGGCGGCGAGCTGGGGACAAGGCTTGGTAGCTCACACCAGCGCGGGGCTAGAACTGACAGCAGTCCTGTTCAGCTCAGATGTTAAACCAGAGGATAAATCCCCTGTGCCACTGCTCCCCTATGATCTAGGAACAAGACAGGGCAGCCTTTGGGACGCAGACCCTTAGTTGAGAAGTTTACGGCGCTGGAGCACAACAACTGAACCTTCCGAGGCATGGAAGGGTTCAACTGGAGGATGTCAGGTAGCCCTGTCATAGGTCTGGAATGTGGAGGAGTTTTCTGTCTCAGCTCTCCCTGGCTCACCAACTGTCTGCTGTCTTATGCTTGACCTTGTAGATGCTCCAGCTGCAGTTTTACTCGGCTGGGAAAGTTAACGGCTTTAGCTTTGCCTGCTTGCCTTGCCCGCCCGCACGAGATGTATCCATTGGCTCATGCTTACCGGGGGGGATGTTTGATTCTAGTACAAGTCAGAGGCCCTAGTATTGACGTCCATTCCTGACACAAGCTGTACACGTGTCTCTAGTACTGGATCTACCAATAAACAGCTATCTTCCCACGAAGCCCTGTGTTGTGTAACCTGGCTAAGGACCCTGACAGAGAGCAGCTGGCGTTAAGCATTTTGTCACAGCTGTCGCAGGAACCAAGACGAGATGGGTGCATGCAATGAAACGACGGGAGGCAGGGATAGGGAACAGCCGAGAGGAGAGAACTTGTGCTTGGAACGTGCAGTGGCAAAGGGGAATGGAGAACGAGGCAAAGGGGGCACTGGTGTCGACTCAAACAGCTTAGCGGCTCAAGCCCAGTTCAGGGCTGCTTCCTGGGTCACATCCTGCCAGCATGGGGTACTCTTCCGGGTCACGAAGCGGTGTGCGGCCCACCTGTGAGAACTGCACATTTACCATGTGTTTTGCGGTGTTTAAACACAGCACGGCCTAACCCGGATGCCCCAGTCTGGCCCGATCTTGTCGGATCTAGGAAGCTAAGCACGGCAGGCCCTGGTCAGTACTTGGCTGGGATACCACCGAGGACATTCAGGACTGTGACACAGAGGCGGGCAACGGCAAGCCACCTCTGGATGTCTCGTGTCTTCAAAGCCCGACAGGATCGCCAAAAGTCAGCTGAGACTCAACGGGGCACAATGACTAGGCTCTGACTGGGACAGCCAGGGTTGGCCGGATCGTATCAGAACTTCGAAGCTAAGCAGGGTTGGACTTGTTTGGAAACTGGATAGGAGCCCACCAAGGAAGTCCAGGGTTGCTATGCAGAGGCAAGAGAATGGCAAACCACTTCTGAACGTCTCTTGCCTTGAAAACCCCATGAAGAGGTGCCATAAGTCGGCTGCAACGATGGCGCTGTCTACCACTCTCATAATGGTGAAAAGAAGAAGAGGAGAGGAGGAGGAGGAGATTTATCAGAACTTCGAAGCTCAGCAGGGTTGGACTGGTTCGGAAATTGGATGGGAGACCACCAAGGAAGTCCAGGGTTGCTGTGCAGGGGCAGAGGATGGCAAACCACTGAACGTCTCTTGCCTTGAAAACCCCATGAAGAGGTGCTGTAAGTCGGCTGCAACGATGGCGCTGTCGGCCACTCTCATAATGGTGAAAAGAAGAAGAAGAGTGAAGGAGGAGAACGAGATTGGATTTATACCCCGCCCTTCACTACCCAGAGGTGTCTCAGAGCGGCTTCCCCACTCCTCCACTTGCACCTGGCAGGATGACCTTGGGCAAGCCGTAGTTCTGGCACAGCTGTCCTTGAAAAAAGAGCCGTTTCTGTCAGAGCTCTCTCAGTCCCGCCTACCTCAGGTGTCTGTTGTGGGGAGGGGAAGGGAAAGGAGTTTGTAAGCTGCTCTGAGACTCCTTCGGGTAGTGAAGGGCAGGATATAAATCCCATCTCTTCTTCTTCTTCTTCTCCTTCTCCTCCTCTCAAGGGCAGTGCTGGAAAGAGCTCTCTCAGCTCCGCCTACCTCACAGGGTGTCTGTTGTGGGGAGGGGAAGGGAAAGGAGTTTGTAAGCCGCTCTGAGACTCCCTTGGGCAGTGAAGGGCGGGATATAAATCCCATCTCTTCTACTTCTTCTTCTGGAAGACAGCCTGGACATGGAAGCCGCCTTCCAGCACAAGCTTTTTGAGACTGACACCAGCGCCTTAATGGAAGGACCCTGAGTTCAGGGCAGTGAACTGGGATGAGGCGGAGAAGTTGTGATGCGCTGGGCTCCAAACCTGCAACGGGATCTTCTAGTATAATGCTGATTTCCCTGTGCCCTCCTGAGGACAGGCAGCAAAACGGGAAAGGAGAGAGAGTTAAAAGAAGGAAGACAAAACAGAGAGGGCAGCTACTTACCGTGGCGGGAGCCAGTATGTCCATCTCCAGGACCAACACCCTTTTTACCCTTAGAAGACTCCGAGAAGGCCCAGCCACTGGCCACACGGCAAACGGCACTTAAGGTGGCGATTCCTAATCGCACTTCCACCCATTTCCTGCACAAACCCGTCCCCATATCCATGCAGAATATGCCGAGCACCACGGGAGGGAGATGACAGAACGGGGCACTGATCAGAAAGGGGACCTCCTCAGTCACGGCACCAAATGTCAGCAAGCTGCCAAAAGTTCATTCTTGTCTATATGTTCCTCTATGCATCTTTCCCCCCCCCCTTCGTAGAGGCGCTCAGCTTGTCATGCGCACATCTCCCCAGTAGCTCTGCATTCCTTTCAGTATACGCCAGCCATGCTTTGATGTAACGTTAT